ACAATTATTTTTTTTTTTTTATTTTTTGCCACAGATTTTTTGTTTATTTTAAAAAAATAACCCACCCATTATCAATGACCACGTTTTGTGTTGTAAGTTGTAAAGATTGATTACAAGATCACGGGCACGATCTTTATATGGCTGCTGTTACCTTGTGATTGTGATGAAAGATTAAAATGAGCACATATATATATATATATATATATATATATATCATTCATTGAGCACAGAGGACCCATAGGTTTGATCAAATAATGCTCCTTTACAGCCTAGGTAGCACGATTTGTTATTCCTCTTCATTTAAGACTCATGTCGTACCATAAATCTTGATTTTGTTAGAGAAAAAATAAATAAAAATCTATTTTAAGTTCATCTACCCTACCTTACACACATTATTTATGATGGTACATTTTCGTAAAACGTAAATAATGTGAAGGACATTTTATAATTTTTGGCAAGAACAGGGTATTTACTAAACCAACTCCCCTTTTTTCCTCGGAGGAAAAACAGCATATAATCACATTCTTCTCATTTTGGAAGCCAGCTCATAACGTGCAAGAACCTAGTAGTTAATCACAATTTTTGTCGCATAAATAATCAATATTATTATCTTTTTAGTGGTCGAATTTATTATTTTATCATCATCAACTAAATCAACTAAATGAGAGATGTTACGGTTCCACTACGGAACTATTCCATTAGAATTTATAGTCACTAGTACGTACCCCGTGCGATACACGACACGAAGATATTAAATGAGTTATTTTCACAGCCTTGTCCGTTTAAGTCTAAAAAGTAATAATGTTATTATCTATTTTCTACCTCTTTTAATCAACGTTAAGTCTAAAAAATTATTAACCCACCCTCTGCCAAATATGTATGGAGTTATGTGTTCGTGTCTCATAAGTCACGAATATTATGAATAACATTACAAATTATTCATTCAAACTTTTATTCATTGCAAATATATTAAAATAGTTTATATAACAACCATTAAATACCACTTTCAATATATTTATAAATAAAAAGTACATAAAATTTCTGGTGTGTTCAAATTTAAATAATTTTTTATGAGCTCAATTTTAAATCATCCAGACATTTGGTCAAACGCATAGCTGTGTTCAAATTTAAATCATTGGTATTTTGGTCGGTTGAAATTTAAATCATCTACCATGGTACTGTGATGTGTATTATATATATACAATTTTTTAACAAATAATATGTGCTTTATAAAAATAATAATAATAATAATTTCACAAGATTTTAAACGTAAAATTTGGTTTTTAATCACAATAGAAAAATCATGGTAAGTTGTATTGAAAAAGTGTTATGAGATAAAACAATTAACTAAAATAATTAAATAAAATACTTGATGGAAATAGAATACATTAATTACCTTTGACTTTTCTTATTACTAATTCTAGTAAATAGAATGCCTTTTTATATAAGTATAGATTATATCAGCTATCCCCAACAATTATATAATCACCTAATGGTTACAAACTCCAACGGAATGGACGGTAACATTTCCCCAAATAAATACATAGAAATCAAACTTAGTAAAATACAACTCCCAAACAGCGTGTGCCGTGTGGTCCTCTAACTTATCGTCCAAATCTTTAACGTCCTTTTTTTTTCACACGGCAATCGAGAAAAACTGACTAACCTGAAAGAAAGCGCTGCAGCCGTTAGATTGGTTCATCATTTTCGTCTTCAGCCATCCATCTTTACCCTCCCTGCAAAATTCAACTATACTTTTATCAACAAATCAAAATAATGGAATCTATGCACAAAAAAATGAAAAAAAAAAATATCTAAATAAACTGAACAGTGAAAATATTAACGAAAAGAAAATTAATAATAACAAAGAAATTACCCGAGAAAAATGGCGATCCCATGTTCGAAGGTCGTCTTTTCCGTCAAGCTCATCACCGTCAGCCCCAAGAATATTAGAAAACCAATCAGATGCCTGAAAATAACCCAACAATCCAGATTCAATCTAATAATCCAATTCAAAAGTACATGGAAGACAGGTAAATCGACTCACGTCCAAATATTGAGAGTCTCATTGTGCAGACAAAATAGGCTGAGGGCTGCATCTTTCAAAGGCCATTCGCATCTGTAATAATCCCTTATAAATTCGTTGTCCTTCAAATACTCCGGCAGCTCCTCGTATTTCAACAGTCGCCGCTCGAATTTCGCCGCCTTCTTTTGGTTACCGCCACAGATCCCGGACGGCGCCGGCGGGGCAAAGGTCGAGGCAGCGCCCTTTGCGGTACGCCTCTTCATTTTCCGATTGTAATTTCTATCCCGCAATCTGAATAAACCGCTTGACACGGCAAAAACGCCACCGGAAAAGGATCTCTTTTCGGAGGAACTCGGAAATTTCGCCTGAATATCGAGCCGTTCCGTTGTTCTCCTCCGACGCGGCGGCGTATGTATGCACGGATATGAATATATTGGCTCCTTTTACACGTGCGTATATATACGTATGTCTGTGTGCTTTTTATCTAAAGTTTGAGGAATGGAGCTCTGTTCACCGGCTTTGGGAAATATATCCAGCAAATAGCGTGTGATCGAGGAAAAAAATAATGAATAGATCAAATAATATTCCTTTTGGGAAAATATTGAAAAAATTCGAAATACTCAATAATTAATTTTTGAAAGACTTGAAAAATGAGAAGAAATATAGAATTTCTTGATAATCTACTGTCAGAAATTCTTGATATTGCAGCAAAAACTGATAAAATTATTGAAAATATTAACAAACTAAAAGTAAATAACTTAGAAGAAACCTTAATAAAATTAGACGAGAAAATTCCTAAAATAGAACCATTAATGAAAAATTTAAGCAAAATAATTTTACTTGTAAATCAAAATTGGAAAAGAATTAAGATTAAATGGCTAAAAATCCTGAAGTAGAAAATGTACAACAAATACTAACGATAGTTAGTGAAATAAAAGAAGTTGTTCTAAGAATAGAGTAAAATATACAGCAGTCCGATTCTAGTAACCAAGACACTAAATTGTTAGAAATAGAAACAGTTTTACTAAATATTAAAGAAAAAAAGTGTATAGCAACATATAGACTACCAAATGAATGAGATCTTAGTAATCTGTTTAAAAACGGAAGAAAAAGATTATCTTGAGAAAAATGAATAGTGATACTGATTATACTCAAAGTGAAACTGATATTCAGTCTCTTTTAGACAAATATCAGAATATATTATCTTTAAAACAATTCGTTGGAAATTACATCGACTCTAGTTCAAAAAGTGAAAATCTAGAACCAAAAGATCGTATAAATGTTAAAATTGAAGAAGATCTTAAGGACATTCCTCCAGGACCAAGTAATTATCAAGACACTCATGAGTTCATGACTCCTGAAGAATACCTGCATGATGAGTTCTATAATCCAAACGCAGATAGGTACTTTGGAGTATCTGATGAAGAAAAAACATTTCCAGAAATAAATATTCCAGGAATGATGAATATGAATTGAGGTAAGACAAAACCTTACAAGAAAAATAAAACAAAGAATTATATTCCTAAGGAATTTATTCCTAAAGATAATTCTAATAATCAGAGTGATAACATACTCAATCTAGATTGTTTGACAAAACCAATTGAAACTATAAAATGTTGGTATAATTACATGTTAGTAGCAATACAAACTAATAGAGAAGCATTTGAAGATCTAAGAACATTAAAAACATATTTAGAACTTCATATGAAGGGAAATGTTAGAAACTGGTGGGATTCAAACCCATATGTTCCAAGCCTTGATGCTCTTTGAAATAAACCAGAAGATAACATAGAGTATTTAAACGCCTTGGCTAAACTACTCGTTAATGAGTTTGTAGGAGTCAGAGAATTAGATAACACAAATGTAGTGTTAGAAGAAAGACATAAAAAAGCAAAGTTCATACTTGATAATATTCAAATATGTGATACTTGTTATTAGAAAAACTTTACATGTGAATATGAAAAATGGTATTACTTGTTAAAACAAGAAGATAGTCCAGCATATGCTGAAAAATACTTCAATAAGTTGCCACCATTGTGGGCTTTTGAAATGAACGAAAAATGGTCGAATAAACCTGATCATATTACAGAAGGTTTTGCAGGAAGAGTAAACCTTCTTAAAGAAACTATATAAGATAGATGTAAAGATACTCAATTAAGAGGGACT